AGCTGGACTTACACTGACCCTATTGTAACTGGGCCACAGCGGTCCAAAGCGGGTCAATATGGCAATGCCGCGGCCCGTCTGCACCTCCGCTTTCAGCATTGAGTCTCTGATCTCGGGTCCGGGTCCCGGGTCTGGCTCGGGTTCCGCTCCCTTCGTTTACACTTACCCCATGTTCGTGCCGTACCGCTCCGTGCTGCTGCCGCCTCCGCTGCCGCCGCCACATGGTTACGGGATGACGCTGACCTCCGCCGTGTTCCCGCCGCCGCACGAGACCGGCCGAAAGTACAGCTACGACAAGAGCCACGAAGACACGGAGCTCCCCGGCGCCAAAGACCCGCTGGGGTCGTTCACCGACGACTCCGGACCGATACCGAGCGGAGCCGCTGGAGGTGAGTGAGACCAGGGATATGTGTTTAAAGCTGGGGTCTCTAACTTTTGTCCGTCTTGTGTTAGAAAGAGCCCTGAAAGAAGTGACATCACAAATACATGAGGTGAAACTATAGAGACAGAAGCAAGTGTTTTAGAGCCAGAAATATAACAGTTACAGAACCAGCTTTCTCAAAGTCTATAGTATATATAAATACTATATATTGTATTGAGATTTTATATAGAACCTGATCTCTGAGCAGAATCCGGATGAAAACATTTTTCCACACGCGGAACACTGATTATTGTAAATGACGTTAAGATTCTTTTAAAGGTGTCGTTAATGGATCAAAGAAATGCCTCAGTTTCAAATGTTCGAATGAACAATTTACAAAACACGGGATTCATTTCAAATCATACATCAAATGCATACAAACATGTTTTCGAATATTTAATATTTCAGTTAAATTCTGTGTAATTGTGTTCCGCCCTACACCACAGCAGCACAGCAGTCTCTCAGAGGACTTTACAAAGTTGTGGATTCACCAACAGGAGAGCAGAGAATCAAACCGTTCAAACACAGGAAATAAAATAATAATAATAATAATAATAATAATGATAATAATAATGATAATAATAATAATAACCAAAGAAGCTGGATGAACACAGATGGACATGTGTGTTACATGTGTGTTATTTTGCAGCCTGTATAGGCTGCAAAATAATAATATAATTACATTATATACATTACAATATAATCCTAATGATTATTATTATTATTATCATCACAATAATTATAATCATATGAACACAATAACTATAATCATAATGATAGCACAATAATAATAATAATAACAATAATAATAATAATAATAATACAACACACAATAATGTGTGTGTGTGTGTGATAAAAAAAGGGTCCAGGGCAGATACAGGGCCCGCCGCTGCCGCCGCAGCCTCCGCTCAGGCCGCGGTGTGAAATACGGGCCTCGCGCGTTGAAAATGACAAATCCGGAGTGTCCTGTGCATCTGTGTTTTCTTCTTCTTCTACATAAACACATTTGACAGCGGCGCGTGATGATCGCGTCATCTCGATGTGGGTCAGCGTTAATTGGATATAATCAGGCTAATTACCCGTCACGTGCCATTGCTGAGCGCGCGTGACGGGGTCGTTTTGTAATGCTTTTGGGAAACATGCTCCGCTGTTCTCAGCTGCAGTCTCCCGAGGCTTGACTGAGGCCTTCTGACGTCACTGCGTCATTTCCTTGCGCCTGTTTCTGCAGTTTCACCTGAAGAGAATAATCTTTGCATTAAGCTGTTTCAACCTGAACTCATTCGGCCGCGTCTGGCCGCGTCTTGCCGCGTCCTGCCGCGTCCTGTCGTGTTCTGCCGTGTTCTGCCGCGGCCTCTGATCGTGACTCATTTTCATTTTTTGTTTTGTTTTTAAAACTCGACAAAACGATAAATGTAATGACGCAGATAAAGACACGGAAACACTCAGTTCATTGTATTTCTGCATCACTGCAAAATTGTGGATTCATCAACAACTCAGAGAGAAATGATCAGACTCTGAATACCAATAATAACAAACAACAGGTGCCTTTGTGTGTGTGTGTGCGCGCGTGCGTGTGTGTGAGTTTACTATCATCGGCCCCAACAGCAGCACATTTTTAATGATATAATTTAAGCTTTTTCTCGTCTTTAAAAATCCTTTTATTTATTGAAGACTTTTAAATAAGTTTTAATCTAAACATCTCGGCCGCTGTTGCTCTGAGAGGGAAGAGGACCTTTGACCAATGGCTCTATTTGTTATTATTGTATTTCCTGTGTTTGAGCTGTTTGATTCTCTCATCTGTGTTGGAAAATTAACAGTTTATTTAAGTCCGACAAAATAATTACTGGCGATACAAGAATAAACAGTGCAGAGCGGTGTGTTATAGCTTCAACCTTTGATCGTGTCTGTATTTGTATCATACTAATCCAATCCAATCCAATCCACTTTATTTTTAAAGCACATTTAAACAGTTATCAAGTATAAAACGATAAAAAAGTAAAACAGATGACTGACCACAAAGCGCATGTGTTAAAAGCCAAAGAATAAAAGTGGGCCTTAAGACGAGACATAATAAGATACCAATTATATTATAGAATTATTATTATTATTATCATTATAACCATATAATTATAATTATTGGACAGCTCCCGCTGTGGCAGAACTCGACGCCGACGGTTCTAAATGTGATCTTTATTTCAGAAACAATGTGACGTCACAGAGACATCTCTGTGACATTTCTGTTGGATTCACCTTTAATTTAATACTTTATTTTGAGCCAAACAAAATTATAACATTCTGCACAATACAGAAAACACTGTACCCACACACGGGCAACAGATGAAGGACAAAATAAAACAAAGAGGTACAGGGAAGATCTGTACAACACACATATATTTTGGCTCAAAAAGCCAACCTTAAACACACACATTTAGAAAAAAAATATTACAATAATAAAATCACTATTACTGATATGACAGTTATTAAGTTCTGAGTCACATAAAGAGACACACAAATAGACACACACACACGCACACACACACGCGCGCGCGCGCACACACACACACATACACGCAAACGCGCATACACACGCGCGCGCACGCCCTGCCCCCGGTGATAAGAACCGGTGATAAAACCCATTAAAGCTAATGTATGCTAATGCTAACATCTCCTTCCACTTTGTGAAGCGCTGATGCGGAAGAATCAGAAGCTCTGCGTACGTCGCTCAGAGCGTGACCCTCATCACCGCAACGTCAATCACTGCGACGTCAATCACACCATAAAACAAGTGGCGTCAGTCCAATAACCGCCACAATTTACAGCGTTACGATTTTTATATATCAGAAACACCAGAGAGACCAGAAAGAGACCAGGGAGAGACAAGAGACAGAGAGAGACCAGAGACAGAGACCAGAGAGACCAGAGAGAGACCACAGAGAGAGACCAGAAAGACCAGAGAGAGAGACCAGAAAGACCAGAGAGAGAGACCAGAGAGAGACCAGAGAGAGAGACCAGAGAGACCAGAGAGAGAGACCAGAGAGAGACCAGAGAGAGAGACCAGAGACCAGAGAGACCAGAGAGAGAGACCAGAGACCAGAGAGACCAGAGAGAGGCCACAGAGAGAGACCAGAAAGACCAGAGAGAGAGACCAGAGAGAGACCAGAGAGAGAGACCAGAGAGACCAGAGAGAGACCCAGAGAGAGACCACAGAGAGAAGAGACCAGAGAGAGACCAGAGAGACCAGAGAGACCAGAGAGACCAGAGAGAGACCACAAAGAGAGACCACAGAGAGAAGAGACCAGAGAAAGAAACCAGAGAGAGACCCGAGAGAGAGACCAGAGAGAGACCAGACCGGAGAGAGACCAGAGAGACCAGAGAGAGAGAGAGACCAGAGAGAGGGATCTGAGAGACCAGAGAGAGAGCGAGATCAGAGAGAGAGACCAGAGAGAGAGAGACCAGAGAGAGGGATCTGAGAGAGGACCAGAGAGAGAGACCAGAAAGAGAGACCAGAGAGAAACCACAGACCAGAAAGACACTCTAACTTCCTGATTCTGTTGCAGGACGTTTAGACTTGGATGACTCCGTGCGCAGAGACGAGTCTTTCTCCCTGGACTCGGACTTGGACTACAGCTCAGACGAGAACCAGAGCCAGTCTTGCTCCAAAGACCAGGACCAGGACCCCAGCAGAGACCCAAGCAGAGATCGAGACCCCAGAGACCCACGAGGCTCCGGGGCCAAGAGCCGGCGGCGGAGGACGGCCTTCACCAGTGAGCAGCTGCTGGAGCTAGAGAAGGAGTTCCACTGCAAGAAGTACCTGTCTCTGACCGAGCGCTCGCAGATCGCACACGCGCTCAAACTCAGCGAGGTCCAGGTCAAGATCTGGTTCCAGAACCGCCGCGCCAAGTGGAAGCGCGTGAAGGCCGGGAACGCCAACAACAAGAGCGGAGAACCGGCCCGGAACCCCAAGATTGTGGTCCCCATCCCCGTCCACGTCAGTCGCTTCGCCATCCGCAGCCAGCACCAGCAGATGGAGCAGAACCGGCCCTAACCGAGACCAGGACCGAGACCAGGACTGAGGTCTGGACCAGGTCTGGTTCCTGGTAAAAAAAAACATTTTTCTTTACTTTGTCTGGAAAGCGACAGTGGCTCAGTTGGTAGAGCCTTTGGGCCAGAAGGCTGTGGGTTCAAGCCCAACACGAGACATACCTCATGACTCCCACTGATGACTGCTGTCGTTGTGTCCTTGGGCAAGACACTTAACCCCACTTTGCCTGAAGCCCGTGCTGAAAGATCTCGGCTCCTGTGGACTCACCACCTGCAGGAGGATCAGGGAGGGGCTGGTGCTCTGTGTTCTGGGTGCAGCTCTGACTGACACCCCCCGACCAAGAAATGGATTAAGGGGAAGAAAATGAATGGATGGAAAGTTTAGGAGTTCACTTTAAAATACAGACACATCCATTTGGTTCTACAGAGAAACAGTCCTGGTTCAGACCTGGTCCAGAGCTAGTCTTCTGGACAGTGGGTTGTCCCTGTGTTCTGTGGAGTCATGCCTCCTCAGTGTCCTGCTCAAAGGCACAGCACTAACTCTGAGTCTGTGACACGTGTCGTGTTTTTATTTATTTATAATAAAAAGTGTGAAATAAACGTGATTAAAATCTGAGTCTGACTGTCGTCTTTATGATGTCATCACAGTTTTAGCGTTAATGCAGAAGAAGCTGGAGCAGTTTCCTTATATGGGCATTTGTTCTGACGGCGTTAGCTTGTCGCTGTAACAGGGGCAGACCATGGATCTATTATAATAACTGGATAGAGTGTTACAGCTTGGAGCTGAAGGACCCATGGGCTGGGGCAGGGGTCGGCAACTCAAAAGGTTCAAAGAGCCAAATTTGATAAAAAAACAAAAAACAACATCTGTGGAGCCTTGTATAAGGCTTATATGAAGGTAACACAGACTGAAGCTGTATTAGCTACATTAGCCTAATATCTAAATGACAAAGTAAAGGCTACAAATACACAATAAGCATTCATGATTATCAAATGTATATTTTCACTACAGTGACGACTCTGCTTTAACTTTAACTTTCATTTTTTGTCTTCATGCAATTGTACAAATAGAGTAAATAAATCTGCTTTTTGGCTCAGAGTCACATACCTGCATCACTGTCTGCTCACATCGATGACATCACAGGCTGAAGTTTGCTGGAGCTAATGTCCTTATTGGCTCTTTCTTTCACCGTCTTTGTGGAGGTTTTTGAAGTCTGAAAATAGGTGCTCTGAATTTGCGATGAATGAATGAAAACGGTGTTTTGTGCTTCATTGTTCCTCGTGTTGCAACAAAACTTCTCATTACAACGCAGACATGAAGCAGTCCTTCCTCATTGACTGAAATTCATTCTTGCTCTTAGTCCAGTCTAAAGGAGGATCTTGGAGTAACGTCGTTGTTTATAGTTTTTCTGCTCTGGTCACGTGACTGTGGCACTACAGCTTAGAAAGGTACCTGGATGCGAGAGAGTTCGCTATTTTTCGACGTTTGGAGAGAGGTTTTACCAAATCGAATGGTCCATTCTTGTTGTGTGGTCGGTTGTACTGGGGACAGATTACGTTTTTTAAATAATTCTTTCGGAAAAGAACAACGAAAAACGGCCGCGGTAAAGTGGTTGCCCTTTTCTGCTGTTACCTACAGTAAATGTAGAACGGGAAGCCGGGGGGATGAGGGGATAAAAATTCATAAACAAATGTAAGTTTTGCAACTACTTTCACTGCGGACTTGGTCACTATGATGATTCATTTTAAACATTGCATTTTGGTTGCTCATCCCCGCGGCTTCCTCTTCCAGGTTTACCGTAAGCCGGGCCACTTTACCGCGGTGAAAAACTAGAGAAATAGATTTTCACCACGGACCCTTCTTGAGTGAAGGGTCCCAGGTTTTCTATGAAGTAAGAATAAATGTCCCTGAGTCCCAGTCCCAACAGATCTGTGCCAAAAGAGGTGAGTCTGACCAATGTTTCTTCTCGTCATCCCAGGTCTCATATGGGCTTTGAATTTGTTCAGTTCGGTCTAATATACTTATTTTTAGCTAGTCTTTATATCTCCTCTGATCTTCTTGCGTTAAAGTGCTTATATACAGTGCTATTCGCCCACTGAGTCTTTTTAAAGTACTCTTCGCATCCATGCTTCAGAATGTGCCGCTCTGTCTTCTTGCCACACAGCGAGGGGCGCATGTGCACAGGGATGTAAACAAAGATCGACTCTTTCTCTTTTTAGCTTTGGGATCCATGCGCACACGCCGGTTTGTTTACAACAGCGGCCGCCTGGCGCGGGGCCGTATTGCAGGATATGATGCACTATACGTTTACAGAAATGTTGAAATTGAATAATACTTATGCACATTTTTATAGCATTTAAAAACGTTAAGAATGTTTTTCCTCCCACTCTATTTTTAGACGTTTTTGAAAAGGCTCCAGGAGCCACTCGAGGAGCACTCCAGAGGTGGGGTTGCCGACCCCCGGGCTGGGGGCTTCCTGCGGTACTGCAGACTTAACAACACTAAATGCACATGGGCTACACAGAAAGGTTCCCTAAACTGAAAAAGTCAAACACATCTGAGGCCAAAAAAACTAATTAGCTACAAACTGAGGGCCGGACTGGTTCAATGTGTATTAACAAATATGAAACTGATGCATAAAACCTTTTGAACCAAGACCTAACACAAAGTATCGTGATTCTAATCGGTTCTAATACTTATCAAATATCATCCCAGAAGCCAAGATAATTCATTCGGGCGAGATCTGGCCATTACTTTGCACATGCATTAGAGCCACATGTATAAACAGCCTCGAGTTGTGTCCGTGTTTACGTCTGCCCTTCCGTCTCCTGTGTTTCGTGGCGCCGGCCTTCTCCTGCTCCAGGTCGTAGAGATCAAGTTTTCATGCTAATATTTGAAAGTTGCATCCACTAATAAGTTAATTGTTGTTGTGCCGCGGTGAGGCCTTGTTGACCCGTGAGTCCTGCTTTTATACGGCCCTGTCGCTTTGGCGTCTGGCTGCCCTCGTTGCTGGGATCCGAGTGTCTCGTAGCCCGCTGTGGGTCTGGGCCTTTAAACCGTCACCCGTCGAGGGTGCGCTCTCAGCATTCACTGTAGAGAAGTAGGTTTTAGCTAGCCTGGCTCCAGCCGACCTTTAGCCCCGCCTATGAGGGGCTAAAGGTCGGCTGGAGCCAGGCTAGCTTTTAGCTGCACACGCTGACAGTATTGTGGTTAATCATAGCTAACTTGACTCCTGTAACCGATAGGCTGGGGACTGGCCACAGACGGCCCACCGCTGTTTCTCCCTGTGTTTTTTTCGCACCACCAAATGTGTGACTGGAATTCTGAAACCTGAGGTTCAGACTGTACAGCTTACTGTAATAAATCAAAGTAACTTGTATTTGCCTCCGCCTCATTATGATTTAACAAACCTGTGCGCCGCAGTGCCTTTGTCTTATTTTATTTTGGGCACCTTGCCCTGGCGTTGTTGGTTTCTTTTATTTAATTGTTTTATTATTTTAGGAGCACGTAGCCACCTCGACTTGCCACACATGCATGCCCGTTAGTATTTAGCGCAAAGCATCATGGGAGTTCGTCCCCTACGCAGAACACCTTTTTAAAAACACTAGTTTTGAAAACTATATTCATCATGTCTGCAGTAAATCTTGTGTTTGTTTGGGGTAAATCTGTTTATCCCCAAAATAAAACACTCTTCTTTATTGTGGCTTGTGTTGCATTACAAGGAAAACGGGTAAAATAAACACGAAGTGGATTATGTTGCTATTGAACTATTCATTTTGAAATGATTGAGAAATACATGTGTATCAAAACCAGAATGGAAAATTACAGATTTTTACAAAATAATGTAAGTCCATTGAAAAGAAGCACATTTATATAGTTTTGCAGAACAACTTCCACCTCATCAGATTCCTTTCAGCAGCAGCACAGGTCCATTAAGACCACGACTAATGGATTAAAGAACAATTATTATCCAAGTGCAGTTCCCACACTGTACCGTCAAATGTAACAGACCATCATGAACACTGAGTACGTGCAAAGGAACAAAAAGGGGATTTGTAGATAATTTAATATTTATTTTATTGCATTGACATAAACACATCCATATTTGCAGATCCCTGGTACAGGCCAGGACCAGCTGAAGATCTCTGCAGATCACTGAGATCTAAAAGAGAGAAGTAGTTTTAGAGCAGACTTATAGTTATTACTTGTTATAACTTAACTGTCTTATAAAGTCAGAAGAGTTATCGTATGATAAGCTCTCAGTTTTACTGGAGTTGTTCATGTGAACGTTCTACATCTGTCACAACTCAAGCTGAACATTACACATCAAGTTCTGTGATAATACAGTGCCTTGCGAAAGTATTCGGCCCCCTTGAACCTTTCAACATTTCGCCATATTTCAGGCTTCAAACATAAAGATATAAAAAATTTATTTTTTGTCATGAATCAACAACAATCGTGAAGTGGAACGAAATTTATTGGATCATTTAAACTTTAAAAAAAAATAAAAAACTGAAAAGTGGAGCGTGCAATATTATTGGGCCCCTTTACTTTCAGTGCAGCAAACTCACTCCAGAAGTTCAGTGAGGATCTTTGAATGATCCAATGTTGTCCTAAATGACTGATGATGATAAATAGAATGCACCTGTGTGTAATCAAGTCTCTGTATAAATGCACCTGCTCTTTGATAGTCTCAGGGTTCTGTTTAAAGCGCAGAGAGAACCATGAAGACAAAGGAACACACCAGGCAGGTCCGAGATACTGTTGTGGAAAAGTTTAAAGCCGGATTTGGATACAAAAAGATTTCCCAAGCTTTAAACATCTCAAGGAGCACTGTGCAAGCAATTATATTGAAATGGAAGGAGTTTCAGACCACTGCAAATCTACCAAGACCCGGCCGTCCCTCCAAACTTTCATCTCAAACAAGGAGAAGACTGATCAGAGATGCAGCCAAGAGGCCCATGATCACTCTGGATGAACTGCAGATAACTACAGCTGAGGTGGGAGAGTCTGTCCATAGGACAACAATCAGTCGTGCACTGCACAAATCTGGCCTTTATGGAAGAGTGGCCATTTCTCAAAGATATCCAATAAAAGTCTCTTAAAGTTTGCCACAAGCCACCTGGGAGACACACCAAACATGTGGAAGAAGGTGCTCTGGTCAGATGAAACCAAAATCAAACTTTTTGGCCACAATGCAAAACGATATGTTTGGCGTAAAAGCAACACAGCTCATGACCCTGAACACACCATCCCCACCTCAGCTGTAATTATCTGCAGTTCATCCAGAGTGATCATGGGCCTCTTGGCTGCATCTCTGATCAGTCTTCTCCTTGTTTGAGATGAAAGTTTGGAGGGACGGCCGGGTCTTGGTAGATTTGCAGTGGTCTGATACTCTTTCCATTTCAATATAATTGCTTGCACAGTGCTCCTTGAGATGTTTAAAGCTTGGGAAATCTTTTTGTATCCAAATCCGGCTTTAAACTTCTCCACAACAGTATCTCGGACCTGCCTGGTGTGTTCCTTTGTCTTCATGG